CACAGCCCATGCATGTCTGCATCCTTATCTTCACCTGTCGTAGTAGCCAGTCTACGTCTAGGGCTATGAGTAGTCCAAGTAGTGTGTAGGGAGTACGATGCCATACGTGTGTGGTGTACACCATGCTGTCGCACACAATTGACTATGACCGCAGTGAAACCAGAACTTTGATGGAGAAATGTCGTTGCTTTATTTGTTTTCTTTTCACCGTGGCCAGATGCAAAATTACACTGCCTCGTGCCTCAGAGCCGGCGATATCTACAACGTCCACCGTTTTGTCAGTTGAGCTGTGCCACTATAAAACCAGCTCGGCCACCATATTTCTAATGTCTTTGTTTACCGGGAACGGAGACGATGGCGAGCGTTTTTTCTTAGTCCTGTATTTGCTCATCTACTATATTTGTTAAGAACCACTAATGTTCCTGTTATCCACGCATGCATGCTTTAGGCAGCACAGTGATCAAGCTGGGCTGGTGCTCCATTGTGTGTGGTCACATGACTCACATCGCATTGGATTCCATTTTCTGTACTCTACTCGCTGGCAAGGCGCCGGGTTCCCACGTTACCAAGAACCTATAAATGACTTTAATGAGGTTCTTTTTGCTAATGAAAAAGGAAGGAGGAAATGAGAAGTCCCAGGCATGCATGGGAAGATTTAGAGAAGCGCTGGACTTTTGCGGGCTAGAGGACTTGGGCTTTGAGGGTGACAAGTTTACCTAGCGAAACAAACAACCACCGATGGGAGAGCTACATACAACAAAGGCTAGACAGGGCGGTTGCAAATGAGGGATGGAGGAGCCGGTTTGGGAACTTCAGGGTGGTTAATGGTGACCCTAGACATTTGGACCATAGACCGATCATTATTACTCCCTCCGTTTCAAAATAGATGACTCAACTTTATACTAGAGTTAGTATAAAGTTGAGTCATCTATTTTAAAACGGAGGGAGTACCATGGAGGAAGTGGGAGGAGTAAGATGTAGAGAGGAAGAGACAAGGGGAAAAGGTTGCGGGCGCCATAACTTTAAATTTGAGGCGCGATGGCTGTAGCAATGTGACCAGCTGGTGAAGGAGGCGTGGCGCCAGGCCATGGATGATGGTGGGCTCTGTGTCAATGATGGGTTAAACCGTGTGGCGGGGAAGCTAAAATGTTGGAGTGAGAATACCCTGGGCTCCTTGGAGAAAAGAGTGAAGAAAGCAAAGAAAGAGGTGGAGCGATGGAGGCGTACGCAGTGAGCAAGGAGAAGCTGGCAGGGGAGGAAGTGGCACGGTATCGATTGGAGAGGTTGGAGGACCAAGTAAACACCTACTGGAAGCAGCTCGCACACACAGACTGGCTGATGAATGGAGACAAGAATACATCCTTCTTCCATGCGCGGGCCAAAGAACGGAGGAGAATTAATAAGATTGGGAGGCTGAGAAGAGAAGATGGGAGTTGGGCGGTGAAGGAAGAGGAGAAAAAGGAGCTTATCACTAACTTTTTCTCGCAGCTTTTCAGGTCAGAGGGCGCAACTGAACATGAAGCAGTGTTACAATCTGTAAAGTGCAGAGTCACAAGGGAAATGAACTCGGCCCTTGTGGCAGAATTCAGTGTAGATGAGGTCAAGGCGGCACTAAAGGAAATTGGGGATCTGAAGGCCCCAGGGGAGGATGGCATGCCGGGAATCTTTTACAAGCACTATTGGGATGATGTGGGGGCAAGAATTACACAGGAAGTGCTAGCATTCCTAAACGGAGGGCCTATGCCGGCTGACTGGAACAACACATTGATAACCCTAATCCCAAAGGTTAAGAACCCGGACAATGTCAAAAACCTGAGGCCAATAAGTCTTTGTAATGTTGTGTATAAGACCATCTCCAAGATTCTATCTAAGAGGCTAAAGCTGTTGCTGCCAGAAATCATCTCTCCGACTCAAAGTGCTTTTGTACCAGGCAGACTCCTAACCGACAATGAGGTTACCCACTACATGCGAAACAAGAAAAGGGGCAAGGAGGCCTATGCTGCAGTAAAATTGGATATGAGCAAGGCATATGACTGGGTGGAGCGACACTTTTTGGAAGCTATGATGATTAAAATGGGTTTCCATCGAAGGTTCGTGGGGCTGATTATGAACTGTGTGAAGAAGGTCAAATACAAGATAAAGATCAATGGGGACCTCACGAAGGAAGTGGTACCAGGGAGAGGGTTGTGCCAGGGGGACCCTTTGTCCCCTTACCCCTTTGTATTGTGTGCGGAGGCCTTCTCTAGTTTGCTGACTAAGGCTGAAGAGGATAATCTGATTCATGGGGTCAAGGTGTGTCCGAGCTCCCCGAGTGTGTCCCATTTGTTCTTTGCGGACGATTCCCTCATCCTTTTCAAGGCAAACAAAGAGAGCGCAATGCAGATCCAGCGTATCCTACAAATGTATGAGGCTAGCTTGGGATAAACCATAAATAAGGATAAGCCAGCGGCTTTTTTTAGTGGCAATGTGAAGGTTGAGGATAAGAAGGATGTCATGAGCATCCTAGGAATTACAAAGGAGGCCCTGGATGAAAGGTATTTGGGCATGCCAATTCATGTGGGTAAGTCAAGAACCAAGACCTTCAGACACATCATTGATAGAATATTACAGAAATTAGTGGTTGGCAAGAGAAGATGCTTTCACGTGCAGGGAAAGAACTATTGATTAAAGTTGTGGCGTAGGCAATTCCCACCTTTACCATGTCATGCTTTGATCTAACGAAATCAATTTGTGAGGAGATTAGCACTGCGGTGTGCAAATATTGGTGGAGCCAGCAGGATAAAACAAATAAAATCCATTGGCTGAGATGGGAGAAGCTGACTAAGTCAAAGGGAGAGGGGGGGCTTGGCTTCCGTGACATCTACAGCTTCAACATGGCTATGCTCGCACGTTAAGGCTGGAGAATGCTGTAGAATCCGGAGTCCCTGTGTGCTCGGGTGCTTGGGGCGAAATACTTTCCTGGTGGAAATCTGCTGAATGCAAGGGAGATAAGCAATATGTCCTACACATGGAGGAGTATCTTGAAAGGCATAGTTATTTTAAAAAGTCCTCATTTGGTGGGTGGGAAATGGCCAATCTATCAAGATATGGAGGGACCCATGGATCCCTAGGGGAACGACACGGCTGCTAGCTACACCAAGGGGCACCAACTTACTATCAAAAGTCAGTGATCTGATCGATCCGGTGAAGGGTGTGTGGGATGAACCGTTGGTGAGGGCCACTTTCCATGAGGATGACACATCCTGGATCCTTGCCATACCTATAAACAATGTGCTTGAGGATCTCCCTGCATGGCATTTTGATAGAAGGGGCATTTTTGCAATTAAATCGGCTTATTGGGTTCATATGCATGATAGAGCTCTGGAGGGTCCAAGAGGTGTTGCTTTAGGGGTGGAGGAGCCAAACAGATTGTCCCCATGGAAGATGATTTGGCGGCTGACAGTCCCTAGCAAAATTAGGCACTTCATGTGGAGACTAGCGCACAACTCGATGGCTTTTTGCGTGAACCTTCAAAGAAAGGGCTCGAGATTTCTCCGCTCTGCCCAGTTTGCCGCATTCACAAGGAGGACGGGAGCCATCTCCTCTTTAAATGCAAGCAAGTCAAGGAGGTGTGGCGCCTTTGTGGACTGGAGGCGGAGAGGCTGCTATTAATGGACCAGCGAACGGCAATGACAATGGTGGAGAAGTTGATAGCCTTCCCTATGGAGAAGCAAGCTCTCATCGCTACACTCATGTGGAACTGGTGGTGTGAGCGAAATAACCATAGAGAAGGAGGCAAAGGCAAATTGAACGAGGAACTAGCATGGATTATCCAACATCAGACGCGTGAATTCTGCACTCTTCAGCAAACCAAAAAGAACGCTTGTTCATTACCCAAACAGCGTTGGACGCCACCACCCGAGGAGTGGATTAAGATTAATATTGATGGTTCATTCAGGCCAGATGAAAGAAATGGGGGCTGGGGTGCAGTGTTCAGGGACCATGTGGGCGATGTGTTGGTTTGTGCGTCAGGTTTTCTACCTAATATTCTGAATGCTCTACATTCAGATATGCTTGTTGCTGAAACTGCACTTCATTTGGCTTCAGACCTGGGAATGGGCAGGGTGTACTTGGAAACGGATGCACTTCTACTGAAAGATGCTATTGATGACAAGGTGTCACACCCTGTTTTTCATGGCACAACACTTAAGATGATAAATCATGATAAAATATGGTTTGACAAAAACTTTTGCATTATTTGACTTTTTATTTTGAGTTGGTTTTCTGTCTGTGTTTTTCATGTGCTCTTTAAAGTCAACACAACTCCACCTTCTGTACTTCATCTCCTTGCCACAAACTTCTGCCCAACGATCATGCCATGTGTATAGAGCAATATAGTACTTTCTTACAAAAATAATTTGGCCAAAAAGTATTTTCTAAAATTAGTTTGCCAAAAACCCCTAAATTGAGGTTTGCACTGCAAGTACTGGATTTGGGGTGTGAAAAATATTTCAAAGAGTATATTTGAGACCTATTAGATATAGGACTCCCATAAACCACAAAAATATAATTTTAAAAGTCATTTACCTATTCTATTTAAAAGCTTTTTCTTAAGGCCAGAAATGGTCTTTAATAGGGAAAAATTATTTTATTGTTTCAAAAATATTTGAAAAAAAGTTAG